ATAGAGGAAATGCGTACTTTTAAGCAGTACGGCCACAAATGATACAGCAAGCTCTTGACTGGCTGAAGAAATATAATTCATTGTACAAAGAAACTGTCATAAATATTAATGCCATTGATAGCAGTCTTACAAATTTATAGCAAGAAGATTTCAACCATAATGATAAGAACCAACAAGACACATCAGTCAAACATTAACGAAATTACTGTGATACTGTACTTGAAGGCAATTTGAAATATGACCAAGCAAGTAGAGATGAAGAAGATGATGAACCTTTCAATAAAAATAGAGCTCCAGTGCATGAGACATGCTTACAGTCCGTAATACCTAACTATGATGGGAGGAGTTTTACTACCAAATTTATAAAGCAACCGTTCCATTTAATTTTTGCTCTGGGTAGTTTTACAGATTTTCAAGAAAGTTCCTTAAAGATTGACATTACAAAAACCTGGTTTCATAGAACTCCCGTAAAGCCCCGTTTACACAACCAATTTCGTCCTGCTACTTGAGAGGTGATAATCATAGGCGGATCCAGGGGAGGGGTTGAGGGGGTTGCAACCCTCCCCCCCTTTGAGCAGCATTTGTTTCTTGTTATTTGATCTTTTTTGTTCTTCCTAAAACAATAAGTGAAACTGGTCTTTTTTTACGAAGTTGTTTCACTTCCACCGGACCCCTTTAAGAGCTCGCACCAGAGGCACGGGGCTGTCATTCGCCTTCCATACCACTGGCGTTGAAGGTTATTTCAATAGTGTACAACCCCCCTTTCAAAAAATTCCTGGATCTGCCCCTGATAATACATATATATTATAAATTTACAGTGACAGATGACAATGTCGCCGCAAACTCGAACATGCTCGAGGTTTAGTGCAACTCGCTGAGATTTTATACGATGATTCCCAAAAATATTGACTTCCTTACTCCCGTTGGGAGTAAAAATGTCCAGAACGTTGCAATCCCTACCCCTATACCAAGAAAATTGATTCTTGATGATGACAAGCGATAAACATGGCACATTAATAAGAAAACAAAAATGTCATGAGTTATGCTGAAATAAAATCTATATTGGCTTTTCTACAACTCTTTCATGGAAGATAAACAGCTTCATTGAATTCTCGCTTAAAAACGCATTGCTCTAACGTAAGTCTCAAGTTAGCATTGCTCACGTCCAAGCGCACGATTTCTGGACTTTGTTGGAACTGTTCTGCTCGCTGAGCCCGAGTTATCGTTCCTCAAAGCATCTAGTTTTATATAAGTTGTGATGCAGATATGCGTTCTGCACAAGAAGCGTTCTACTCATGTAACATAACTGGTTTCTTGATTAGGTCAGGAGGAGCTGTTGCTCGTTTGAATGTGCTATACCGATTAGTATAACAACCAGATACAAAAAGATAGCTCTGGGATTTAGCAATGAAGCGAGAACCATCCATACGCATTGACTGCCTCGATCTTTTCATCACAAAACAAAAGTTTAACTACAAAGTTGTAAGCATGATTTCCTGTTATTTACATCAGTTATGCTCTGAGACTAGTGTGTTATTATTTGTAATCAAGCGGCGAGTAGTGCGTGGTAAGCATATGGAAATACTGCAAGTGTTTTTAGTTGGTGA